GATCGATGATAGAGATAGATAGATGATAGATATATAAGATAGATAGATAGATAGATAGATAGATAGATAGATAGATAGATGATAGATAGATGATCGATGATAGAGATAGATAGATGATAGATATATAAGATAGATAGATAGATAGATAGATAGATAGATAGATAGATGATAGATAGATGATCGATGATAGAGATAGATAGATGATAGATATATAGATAGATAGATAGATAGATAGATAGATAGATAGATAGATAGATAGATAGAAAGAAAGAAAAATAGATAGGGGAGAGAGAGAGCTGGATAGAGATAGATAGATAAATAGATAGATAGATAGATGATAGATAGATGATCGATGATAGAGATAGATAGATAGATGATAGATAGATAGATAGATAGGTGTGTCTGTGTGTTTGTGTGTGTGTAAAAATGAGTATAGAGACTAATGATGAATAGACAAATGCTAAATAGCAATTATAAGAATGTATATCTATGGATGAATTTGAAAGGGAAAAATAAAATAAAACTTTAAAAAAAAGAAAGCATTTCCAGGCATTTTCTGCAGAAATCCAGATAAAGAAGAGTGTGCAAACTCCAAGCCATAGGAAAGGAGTGAGGGCACACCCAAAATTAGGACAACCTTTGCGAAAGGGAAAGCACCTCGAGGTTCAATCCTCACTTGTAGGGTTATTTCTTGGAAATGCTTTCTAGGTGCATGTTTTTCCCACTTGCATCCAGTAGGGAGCGCTGGGGGACTTAATCCATCAGACAGAATAGATTGATAGGATTCAGTGCATGAAAAAGAAGGGCAGGATGTGAAAAATCTTTTAAAAAAAAAACTCCACCCTGGGTTGAGTACATTTTTTAGCTGTAATTGCTAAATGGCCCCTCCCTGGCCAGAAATGGGACAGTTAGGACACTGCTACCATCATGATGCTCTTCCTCTTAGTCACATCCCCATGGAAGTCCAATAATGGGATGAAATTTCCAGACAATTGAGAGCAATTAACCAGTGGAACAGCTTGCCACCAGAAGTTGTGGGTGCTCCATCGTGGGAGGCTTTCAAGAAGAGGCTGGACAGCCACTTGCTTGGAATGGCATAGGGTCTTCTGCTTGAGCAATTGGTTGGACTAGATGACCTCCAAGGTCCCTTCCAACTTATGTTATTCTGTAAGGGTCTCCTGCTTGAGCAAGGGGGATGGACTAGATGACCTCCAAGGTCCCTTCCAACTCTCTTATTCTGTAAGGATCTCCTGCTTAAGCAAAGGGGCTGGACTAGAAGACCTCCAAGGTCCCTTCCAACTCTGTTATTCTGTAAGGATCTCCTGCTTCAGCAAAGGGGTTGGATTAGAAAAAACCCCAAAGTCCTTTCCAATTCTGTTATTCTGTAAGGATCGCCTGCTTGAGCAAGGGGGATGGACTAGATGACCTCCAAGGTCCCTTTCAAACCTGTGATTCTATGTCCTACGGCCAGTCCTGAATCCACCCTGAAGGCAACAAACTTTCCTCCACAACTCACCACCCAAGCGTTGAGTTTTTCACACTTCTCCGCCACCATCACACCTCAAGTTTTTACCTGATGCCGGGTGTCCGTACTGTGGCTGGAATGCAGGCGCCGGATTGAATTTTCCCGGGTCAAAGTCAGTTCTTCCTCACTGCCAAGGAGAAGGAGAGGAGGTACTGAGGGTGTGAGCTTGGCGAAAATGCCTCTCAGCCCAACCGTTGACTCAGTTTCCTGGTTCTGTCTCCAGAAGAAGGAGTTGGCTACCCTCCCCAGAACGTGGAGTGGAAGTCCACCACTTGAAAATGGGCGGACCTCAACTCCCAATGTGAGTCGACTTCATGGATGGATGGACTTCAACTTCCAGACTCCTAGAAGAGTATTTTTCAACCTTGGGCACTTGAAGATTGGATGGGCCTCAACTTCTAGAATTCCCTGGCATGGCTGGGTGGGGAATTCTGTGAGTTGAAGTCCACCCATCTTCAAGTGCCCAAGGTTGACCAACATTGTCCCACAGTCAGAAACCATCGTCAAGGGATTCTGTCTCTTCTGCCACATCGAAACATACATCCATCCCTCTTCCCTCTGATGTTTCACCCCACCCTTGATCTGCTCCACCACCCAAGGTCCTTCCTTATCCCTTGGAGGACCTCCAACTCAAGGACGATGACCAATGTCAACCCTGAAGTGGACCTGACTGAGTCCATCTTTGTGGCTTTGTCACACAGTAAAAGAGGGGACATGGGAAGGGAAATAGTTAAGCTGAGGTTTTGCAGTCAAAGCAAAACATTTTCCCATGGGAACCAAGGTCATTCCAACAGGTGGCTGGGGAGAGGAGGAGTGCATTACTTGGAGTTCTGATTTCAAGAGGTGCATTACTCGGAATCCTGACAACCAAAGGATCGGGCAGACCGGTTCTCACGATCTTCTCATAAGACAAGGTCGATCATGAGAGGAGAGGAAACCAACACGAGTGTCTGCTCAACCGTTGCTTACTATTTCTTGGTGATGCGCTTGGTTTTCCGCTTGTGGTAGCAAGTCATGAGGATGACCACCAGGATCAGGAGGCTGAGCAAGACCCCCGAAATGATGGCCACGCCGATCATGGAGATGGAGACCACGTCCACCTGTGGTGCTGGGAGTTCTGCGGGTGAGACACACACACAGATTTCAAGCTCAGCAGAACCAGGAGTCAATTTTGAAGGGCCAAGATATATAGATATATATTTAAATATCGGGCATAGTTGAATGGAATTAAATATATGGAATTAAATATGGACATAGTTAAATGGAATTAAACATATATATTTAATTCGGTTTCTGAGAATACACGTATATCTCTCTCCCCCACCCTCTCTCTCTCTCTCCTCTTTTTCTCTCTCTCTGTCCCTCACATTCTATGTCTCCCTCTCTCTTTCGCTCTCTCTTCTTTCTCTCTCACCCTCTCTGCCCCCACTCTCTCCCTCCCACCCTCTTTCTATCTCTTTCTCTTTCTCTCTCTCTCCCTCCCTCTTTCTCTCTCTTCTTTCTCTCCCACCCTCTCTCTCTCTTTCTCTCTCTCTCTTTCTCTCTCCCTCACACACTCTCTCCCTCCTCTTTCTCTTTTCTTTCCCACTCTCTTTCTCTCTCCTCTCTCTCTCTCTCTCTCACACACACACACTTTCTGTCTCCCACTCTCTCTCCTTCTCTCTCTCTCCTTCTCTCTCTCTTTCTCTCTCTCACCCACTCTCTGTCTCCCTCCCCCTTTCTCTCTCTCTTCTTTCTCTCCCACCCTCTCTTTTTCTTTCTGTTTTCCTTTGACAGAAACAGAGATGAGCACTGCCCCCTAGAGTCGGGAACGACTAGCACATATGTGCGAGGGGAACTTTTACCTTTATCTTAAGTCTTTTTAAACTTCTAACTCTTTAGAAGCACACAAGCTAGCCAAGGAACCCTTATTTTATTTCCTCGTAAAGTCCAGCATTTCTGCAGAAACGTCCGTCTCTTTCAAACCAAAGACTTTTGCCTTGCAACAGAAACCTCCTGGATTGACCAGGAGATTGTGCAACATTTCACAGTCATTCCAGGAAGCGGAAAGGTGGAGAAAAATCCGTAGATTCCCCTGCTTCTAAGAACACGTTTAGGCTTTTAAAAATATCAAGGGATGAAGAAATTCCTGAATCACAACATACTTATGAGAAAACTCAAGGGCCACAGTTTTTTTTTGCTTTCCCAAGAAAGATAAACACTACTAGGAGTTTACTCCAGCTAGCATTCTTTCACACAAGAACCCATGACAGTTAAAACCTCCAATAATTTTTTTTTCAAGCAAAGGAATAAGGATTTTTATGTCCCCAGTGGATCAGGTGGGGGTAAGCTGGACTGATCTATATTGGAAATGTTTTTTCCCAGTAGAGGGAGACCTCGGGTTATGACCACAGTTGGCTCAAAATTCCCATTACAAGGCGATTGCTAAGTGAGCGGCGTCCAGTGCAGCATGGAGTTCGATCCTGACTGGCTCAAGGTTGACTCAGCCTTCCGTCCTTCCAAAGTTGGTAAAATGAGGACCCAGATTGTTGGGGGCAAATATGCTGACTCTGTAAACCGCTTAGAGAGGGCTGTAAAAGCACAGCGAAGTGGGATATAAGTCTAAGTGCTATTGCTATCTTCCTATCTTCCTTCCTTCCTTCCTTCCTTCCTTCCTTCCTTCCTTCCTTCCTTCCTTCCTCCTAAAGGTTTACTCAACCTTCCGTCCTTCCGAGGTGGGTAAAATGAGGACCCAGATTGTTGGGGGCAAGAGGCGGACTCTCTAAACCGCTTAGAGGGGGCTGTAAAAGGACTGTGAAGCGGGATATAGGTCTAAGTGCTGAAAGACAGATGCGTTCAAGCAGGGAAGGAAGGATGATTCCACAGAGCCAATTGTACCTCTGCCCGCTTCAAACATTCTTCATCCGGTTGTTAGTGAGACAGTGCAAATGGGAACTGTCCCGATTGTCAGGCCTGCAGCCACCTTTTCTTTTGGGTCTCTGGCCTGCCACACTTTCTATTCTTCTACTACAGTGTTTCTCAACCTTGGCAACTTGAAGATGACTGAACTTCAATTCCCAGAATTCCCCAGGCAGCGAATGTTTTTCTATGGTGGGAAAATGGGAGGAGGGATTGTACGGAGTTAGATGCGATGTAGCCATAACAACATTCTTTCTAGAAAGCCAAGATCATCCTTTGTCTCTGCACCTGACCGGAACTAGATGGGTGGAACCGCCAGCATGGCAGTGGAAGATGGGACCATGGGATGGACTTGTGGGTGTGGGGGGGCAAGGTCTTGAACTTTCGACTGGGTGGGTTTTTCTGATTCAGGTTTTCCCAGATGTGCCAAGGTGGCTCTCTTAATCAATTGGAACGTTGAGGAATTATTTGCCTCGGACTCTGATTTAATTTTGGATTCTATTTGGAACTACAGCACCCATTCATGCCTGATTTTCTCGGTAATGAAAACCATGCCAGATGGGAAGGCCCATGGACAATTCCAGATGTTGCCATCTGAACCTACCTTTGATGCCCACTGCAGCCCTCACTTCCTTGGCTGCAAAGCTGTTGGACACTCGGCAGATGTAAATCCCGTTGTCTCCAGTTTTGAGGGGCCTCTGGAACTGCAAGGTGTCCCCTTTGATCATCACTCCCATGGGAAGAGGCTCGTTGAGCCTGGGGGGAGAGCAGAGAAGGTCAGAAGGAAAAGGGAACATGGAACGTGCTGGTCTTAGAGGATTAGCTTAGAGGAACAGGGAAGGGAAAGGAGAAGGAGAGGGAGGAGAGGGAGAGGAAGGAAGGGAGATAGAAGGGAAGGGAGGAGAGAAAAGGGAGGGAAGGGAAGGGAGGGAAGGGAGGGGGATAAAAGGGAAGGGAGGAGAGGGGAAGGAATGGAAGGGAAGGTAGGGGAGGGAAGGGTGGAGAGGGGAAGGGAGATAGAAGGGAAGGGAGGAGAGAAAAGGGAGGGAAGGGAAGGGAGGGAAGGGAGGGGGATAAAAGGGAAGGGAGGAGAGGGGAAGGAATGGAAGGGAGGGTAGGGGAGGGAAGGGTGGAGAGGGGAAGGGAGATAGAAGGGAAGGGAGGAGAGAAAAGGGAGGGAAGGGAAGGGAGGGAAGGGAGGGGGATAAAAGGGAAGGGAGGAGAGGGGAAGGAATGGAAGGGAGGGTAGGGGAGGGAAGGGTGGAGAGGGGAAGGG